AATCCACACAACTAAAAGTTTTTCCATGTCGGCAATAAGGCTATCTCTTTTTCTTATGACTTTAGAGTTCATTCGTGTGGCACTTTTAATTCCTTTAACACTTTCTCCTTAGCGTTCACGATGGCACTAACAGTTTTGCGAGCTAAGCTTAGCTTACGTCCTATCTCGGCCATAGACATGCCTTGTTCACGAAGTTTAATTATATCTAACTTGGTATTTAAAGTAAGAGGCTTACGACTCCTCTTTTTATCGCTACTACCCTTTGACGCCATTGTAATTACACTGTAGAAACACAAAAATATTACATAAATATACAGTTTGTAATAACTTTGAAAAATTGCCAGAAATACGGAGACGCGGAGCGTACAAAAGCTGTAAACAGATTGAATCAGCGACAAGAAAATGGCGCCGGACGCACTTCTCTGACTCAGCTGTTGAGCGCCGTATTAGCGAATCGCCGTAAAGCGGAGCGCCGTAAAGCGGGGCCCTACTGTATATGATGTGAAGCTTTCACGGTGGCGATTAATCACCGTCTGATAGCCCGAGAAGACTTTATTAATGTACTATATGTTTTATTTAAGTCTACATGTGGTACAAACCTGGTTGAATGTTTCAGGCTTGCTGTCATCAAATGGTCGGCCTCGAACTAAAATTTTGGATTTCAAGTCACATGAATCATGTTCAGTGTTCATGACAGAGTCCAATGAAGTACCTGCATGCCTGTTTGAATCTTTCCTGGTAAGAGGCTTCAGTGAATCTGTAGGTACTGTCACATTGTATGAGGACCAGTCAATGACTGGGAGCTGAAATGCCAAAACATGACATACCATCACAATGGAGAATATGAATTTAAACTGACAATGAAAAGTTGAAACTATGGCAAAATCTAAGCACATGGTAGTGACAGTAATAAATTATAAGTTGAAGGAGATGTGGAAAGACAGAGATGGGTGTTAAATGGCCCATATCCAGTGGAAATATCTTGGGAAGAAGAAGAAGATGGTAACTGTATTCTTTTATCTGATGTTTTAAATGGGTGTACAACTTTATCTCTTACTGAGAAGGAAAAAACATAGATTCAGAGTGTCAGAGAACAAAGCATGAAGGGAAATATCTGGACTGAGAAACAATAAAATAACAAGGGACTGGAAAAAAATTATATAATAAGTCTTACCAGGAAAACTAGGATAGAACTAGTGCAAAGAAGAAGGCTTGAATGATATGCTGACACTGTTTGCCAGCTTCAGTTTGACTCCAGATCATGTAAAAAATTCGTAAAATATGTGTTGGACTCAGTCCGACATCGGAATGGAACTCAGATTTTTAAATTTCGGACTCAGTCCAACATTGGACCGCAAAGGGTTAATGGGGCACATACTGAATTGAATCACATTTCAGAACCAAAAAATATTTAATGGTACTTCAAATATATGGCTATAAGTTCATTCAATTGATGAAAACTCAAAATCTATTTTGATTTCATAAAACTGTAATAACAGGTTTCTCATTATAATTATTTTGTCGTAATACTGTAGTTCCAAAAATCTGTAAATAGCTGTTATGACTATGTATTTATCCTAGAAACAAGTATTGCATATGTGCTATGACATTCTACATCCTTGGCTTAGGCCTATGAAGGATCCATGGAATGTAAATAAATTCCATTTTAGTCTAGTCTGTCACTGGTAAAATATTATCACCTTAACATATGAAACTTTCATTAGACGTGACCTATCCTCTGTCATTTACTGGAAATGAATGAATGGTAATGGAAGATAATTGTACCTAGAGTATTCTGAATTATGAGCCATACAGAATAAGGAATGTTGTAAGACCAATAGAAACTCAGACTGACCAGAAATTTTAATGTCAACTGGAAAGGCCACTAGGCATAATCCTTGATGAAGGCACCCATAAATTTCCAATATGATTAATGGCTGTTCAGGACTGATTCATATCTACCAAAACTCTAACTTTTCATCACAACCATTTTAAACATCTGTTGTCATTACACTCGCCCACATTCAAAGAAAGATGACAGCAAAAGGTCATTAAAAAGCAATTTGTTTGTCTTACCTCCTACATTCATTCAAACTTACTTCTTCAATAACTTGTGGTACTGGGATTCCCAAGTCTTCTCCTCTTTGAAGTTTTTCAACAAATTTCATTGGATCTTGCATTGCTGCTTCTTGTATGGCCAACAGCTTGTCATAGTCCTGTAAAATTAAAGCAGTCTTAATGAGCAGGCACACATCAATCACAGTTCATATCACTCAAAAAAGGCTTTTGAAACGATTCTGAATAACAATTAAATGTTTGTATATGTTCCCAATATGGTGATAAATCGTGTTAAGCTGCTAGTATCTATATTTAAAACAAGGTTATGGCTGACTTACCTGAATAGCTTTTGTTCTTTGTGATTCTAAAACGGCTATGGTCTTAAGGAGATTCAGATAATCTCCGTTTCCTTTGAGGGCTAAATGGTCTGATTCAAAATAAAATTCAGTAGTGTTATCTGAATTTTCTTCCAGATATCTTGCGTTCTGAGGTGATGTATTCGGAAAAATTTCGCCTGTCGCTTCTGCACTCATATTTGGACTAGAAGACAAGCTTTCCATGGCCTGTAATTACTCTCAACAAATAACAATAATCTTGGTATAAAAGATAACGTAAAATAAAACACACAACACTTATGTAAATTATAGTCCATTCAGAGATATTCATACAAGTCAACATCACGCCATTACAAAGCAGTTCCTCCTTGTTTCCAAGATTGTCATGGCAGACATGATGCGAAAACAGTACAGTGGCTTGTGTTCACATAACTTACATTTACAGTTCAACACATTTGGCCAAATACATGCTGATTCACATACATTACAAAAGGATATGATTTATAGACAAGGATTATCAGTTTCTGAATACAATTTGTTCTTGCTGTTTGTTGGTGTCAGTGCCTTTGTATTTCAGTAAGTTTACCTGCCAAAAGAGTTTGGTTAGGTTTACACGTGTGTAGAGCATTTAGACATAAACATTTTGTTTGCCATGTTTGCCAAAAGAAAGGTATTGAATTTTTTGTTTAAGTTGAAACAAGGGAATTTTTTATCATACATTTATACGCGTAATAATAAGCATTCAGTTACTCTAAGCGATAGAGTGTTCGCTACCAAAAGTGAGAGTTATGTTAATGAAACCGATTCACAAAGTATAAGTAAATCAGAAGTGTCTGAGAGAGAAACTGACATAAAACAACTGCTTGAGGAAGCTTCACTCTGTAATGATCCTCTACCAGATGATCCAGAACATGTTTGGTCAACATCTCCATATCCTGAAGGAGTATTGTTGAAAAGAGATCAGTCCAGACATTTCGCAAAACCCAAGGTAGATCCTCGAGAAACTTCTCTTGTTTTATTTCCTGGACAAGGCACACAATATGTTGGTATGGGAAAAGATCTGATGAAGTTTCCAATAGCTCGTGATTTGTTTGATGCAGCCAATGACTTACTTGGTTATAACTTGAAAGACATATGTTTCAATGGGCCAAAAGAGGAGCTTGATAAGACAATTCATTGCCAGCCAGCAGTGATGGTTTGTTCACTTGCAGCAGTTGAAAGGCTGAGAGAAGAACGACCAATGGCGATTGAATCTTGCATAGGTACTGCAGGATTCAGCATTGGTGAAATCACTGCATTAGTTTTTGCTGGAGCATTATCTTTTGAAGAAGGTTTGCCCCTTTGTATTTTCTCTGTAGTTAAGGGTTGCATCTTATGTCACCTGCACATGAATGTACCAAATATGTGTTTTTGGCATAGAAAGATTTCCAGTATGAAAAGAATACTGTATGAAATAAGAAGTTTTCTTCTTGCATAGTAGGTACTTCCATATACTTCCTGCATGTGCTGTTTTGTTTAAATAACTAAACAGAATTAATTGTATTAACAGATTAGGGAGTTATTCAGTAAGAACAAATTCTGTTATGTACAATAGCATTTTTCTGTAAGGGAAAACTTTAAATAAAATGTCAATTACTGAGATGCAGTATCTCTGTATAACAGTACAGGTAGTATTAAAAATCATGTTTTTGTTACCCAGATATTTCATGCATATTATGCTAAAGTTACTCTATTTCTTTCTGAAGCCATAAGATTGGTTAAAGTACGTGCTGAAGCAATGCAGTTAGCATCAGAGATTGTGCCGAGCGGTATGATGACTGTGTTCTATGGCCCAGACTCGAAGCTGAATTATGCTTGCCTCCAGGCCAAAGAGTGGTGCTTGCAGAGGGGAATTGAAGATCCAGTGTGTGCTGTGGCCAACCATCTGTATCCTCATTGTAAAGTTATTGCAGGGCATTTAGAGGTACAGTACTGAAAGATATTTTGTGGGATATAAATTCTTTACTTAAAACATTGGCCTTTGTAGTCTGAGTATATATGGTCTTGAAAGCAATGAAAAAATATTGAGCAGTCTCCAAACATTCAAGGCTATCAACTTGTTATGACTTTTCAACAGTAAAAATTATACATTGCCATGGAAATATACAAACCTAAGATTCCTTTAAGTAAGAACCAGCACAGAAAGGGCCAAGACTAGTTTTGTAAGTGCATATTCATAAGATAATCAAAACTGGGGCCTTTTCTTTTGCATATCTCATAATATATAATTAATTGAAGTAGCTGGTGGATTACTTATTGATTTGTAAATGACATATTTAAAGCCATTAATTGCTTAGGTTATTCTTCCATTGTTCATAGAGGAATTGTTATTGGTGATACACCCTAATTCTTATTAGACATATGAAGTAGGTACAAAACTACGAGAAACTATGTCGTATATTCACCTCTTACCTGCAAGTATATTTATACACGCACCAACTTATAAAATTCAAATGTTCTAACAGCATTTATTTCTCTGCAGGCACTAACATTCATCAAAAGCAATGCTGAGCAATATAAGTTGAAGCGGCTGAAGAAACTTCCTGTATCTGGAGCATTTCACACATCACTCATGCAACCTGCTGTTGAACCCTTCAAAAAGGCCCTCAGGAAAGTGGACATTGTTGATCCCATTGTTCCAGTATTTTCAAATGTAGAAGGAAAAAGTTACAAAAATGCACATCATATAAAAATACAACTTCCAAAACAAATTTATAAACCTGTCAGATGGGAACAGACACTGCACATTCTGTATGAGCGTAAGGTTGGTGAATATTTCCCAAGAACATTTGAGTGTGGTCCGGGCGATTCATTGAAGATGCTGCTGAAGATGGTGAATGCAAAGGCATGGAATTGTTGTTTTAGTATTGAAGCTTAGGAATTATATTTTGTAGTTTGACTGAAAATTACGTATTTTGTACAATAATTAGTTAATATATTACAAAGTATACAACAAAACATTTACACATACAAAATCATATGTTCATCACAATGATCAACATTGTAAAACAATTCACACCTGTCCATTTTGTCTAATAAATTATAATTCTAGCAAATGTTCTTGTATGATTTCAAGACTTGAAGGGACTAGTCAGAAAATATTACTACTTAAGTTCTCCCCCCTCCCCTCCAGTGCGAGCCTTCAGCACTTATGACGCCACGTCACAGTACCGTATGCTTTTCTGGCATTTCAATTGAATACTAGAAAACAGTATTTAAGAAGCTTTGGGCATTTTGAGTACCAAATTTGAAATAATTACTATGTCTGATTATAAAATAATCATTCTCATATTGTGAAAAATTGATGATTCCATACAGCAGATAAAAGTGCACAGATACTCTCATCCCAGTATACCTCTAAGCAAGATGATTGAATGTGATCTCTTTGAGGAAAAAAACAAAAGTTACAAATGTTTGTTTCCAAACCGATCAAAATAGCTTTATATTATTAATGTGCATCACAGTTGTATTTACGTCCAGTATATCAGTGTAATAGCACCATCAAGTGCAACAGTATTTACCATCGCTTCCTGCAAGTATCAGCCACATCATATCCAGGGGATTCATCCTATTTTATAATGTCGCTTTATACACCACTTAAAATTTTACAATAAAATATTAAAATTATTAAAAAGTAATTGTACAATGTTTTACCTGTCATTATTTAAAACCACTTTCTGCTATGTACATGTTATGAATAATATTACTTCATTTTATAGTTTTATGGTAAAATAGCTCACTCATTAAAACAACTATTCGGTGTTGTACATGTTCTCATTATTAAAGTTATTTCTTGTAACACCCTAATTACTGTATGAACTCCACATGGTCTGGCAGATTATGACAACAAAAGTGTGGCCAAAATATGTAGGAAGAAATGTTAAATATTGTATTTAATTGTTCTAATATGTTAAAATACTGATCAAGGAATGTTTTCAACCAGGAGGGATGAAGAAGCAGGCAGTTTGGGATATTACTTCACAAGGGACTATGATTTAAACTGTTGTTAGGGTAATGAAATCAAGGAGACTGATGGGCTGGTCACGCCACTGTGTGAGGAGAGAAGAAATGCCTCTTAGAAAGTGACCATTGGGATGGAAATGAGAAGATAATATTAAGAAGGACCTTAAGGAAATATGTTTTGAGGATGGGAGGTTTATGGAACAGGCTATGGTTTTGTCCAATGATGGACTTTGATACTAAACATCGAATTGTCTATACAATACGTTTTATTATAATGTATGCATTATGCTTTATTACTACCACTATCAGCACCAGCATTACTATATCGCTTTGGACCCATGATCACTTACATTTTTAAAAATGTATTTTAAGTCGCCAAATGCAGTACTACACTTGACCATCTAAGATAACCTAGGCAAAGCAAGTGATGATCCTATTACATTACCGATTTCTTTCCCACGAGAAAACATTCTACGCGGCACGGCATGTAAACCAAGGTTTTTTACTGGCTAGATTAGGTTTATTAACCAAGAACAGTTCAGTATAATTATCAGAATAATTTCTGATAATTATTGTAATAAATGCATTTTTTAAAAGTTTATTTATTTAAATCTTACAATTATATTCACTATATGTTTGGCATTTAGTTTTATAAGGAACTCTATCTATTAGCGACTTTAAGAAATTTTGAATGAATTGTGACGTTCGTTATAGCGAATGTTCATAAATCGAACGTTCATAAAACCGAAAGTTGCTTGTATTGTGTCAGCATAACAGTGAAAAATTAATGGCTTAATTTTTGCCCCAACACTTGGGATAGAAGTACCAGTAGTTTAATTCAGTAATTGGTTCTGATAACTGATGTCAGTTTTTTGAAAGTTAATGTGATTCAAAACATAAGTTGACTCAGGATTTAAATATTATATTTCATATGAATGGTGATATGATATAGCAACCAAAAGGTAAATGAAAAAGATAGTTGAGTGAAGGATTTCAATTTATTTGAAAGGAATTCTATGCATGATTGAAATCAGTGTTATATATTGAATGATGTGAAGATGTAAATTTTAGTTGTCTTGCTACAAGATTTGGATTAGTAGTAAATCAACATATAGACCAAAAATGTATATAAAATCATAAATAACACATTTCAATACATTACATGTCCTCCATACTTTAGTACACTGTCTGCTCTTGTTCTGTTCATAAGTACAGAATTTTTAACAGTATATAGAAAGTATAGAACAATGTTATCACATCAGATTGCATAACTTCCCACAAATCTTGTAGGCAAACATTCTTCCTTCTCAGTGGAAATGTACTCGGTGCACAGAATATATTTTATGTTCAAAATTCTTTCAGTTTATTTGCTTGTTATGGCTAAGTCTTAGCTATAACAGTTATGGCAAAATTACATTTTGTTTTAGGTACCTTCATGAGAAGTGATGTGCATCCCTGGAACTGGATGTACCTGTTAATCCTTTTTTGGCTAACCTGCCACTGTGGTTCATAAGCATTGTTTGTCTGCCCCTGTGGATGCAGCTCACAACCCTTGTTTGGCTACCCCTGTATGTGTGAAATAGAGATCTGGTCTCTCAGGTGCCATCACCACCTCGCTGCAAAGTCCCTCTCCAACATACATGTTCTGGGAGATGACCATTGGTGTGAATTGTGAATGGTCCTCTGTCAGTGGCTCTGTTGTGTTGCAAGGTTCCATTAGTAGATGAGGGTGTGATCCTGTATATTCCTGCAGGTTCAGCTGTGTGGTATTTCTGTACTGAAGATGTATAGTCTTTGGTTCCTCTTCTTTTGAAAGTGAAGTCTCTTTGTCCAGTTTTAGTGCATGTAACTCGCCATTGCACCCACCAGTGGCGGTAAATTGTGTCAACAGGTCCCCAGTTACGAGATGGTTTTAATGTACTCAGGAATTTCTGTAATGTGAAATAGTGATTGATGATAATATTAACTGAACAGGATAACACAGCAAAAGTGGCTGTCTTCTGGCTTGCTGTGCCTTGTAATCTGGTAGAAGTTTACCAACATTTCAGAGGTCCTCCACCAACAGAGTGAAGAAAACTCAGATATATAAAATGATACATTCACACCCCAATCCATTTTATCACCAGGTTTCTGTACTCTACAAGAATGATGGCATCTTGTTGCAACTAAGTGGTGTGTTTATACTTTTGGTGTCTGAACCAAACAGATCTCCAACAGTCACCCTCAGATGGGTGTTTCTTGAACCTTACTTATACTTAATTGTTGATATGAAATGCTGAATTGAACACAACATACCTGTGACAGATTGTAGTCCACCTGGGAGCTGATTTGTTGAATTGCTGCTGATATAACTATAACCCACGTCAACATATACAGTACCCAGCCTGTGACATAAACCCACACAGGGTCACTGGTTCTACCTGGAAACCCAGTGAGAGGTAGTGACACCATGGACCATATCTCAACCACCTGAAAACAAGGAAATTACATTAAATTTAACACTTCTAGGCCTAGTGTTTATGGGCAGATAGTATTAAAATTAATCTTCAATAAACAGCTTGTGAAGCTGTGAACTAGACAGAAGTGTATCAATATAGTGGGTTTCTGTGATATCAATAATGAATCTTTAGGTTCCTAGGACTAGGGAATCTGCTGACTGGCAGAATAACTGTTCAATGAAGACTCTGTACTATAGAGTTAGTTTATTTTTAAGGTAATGCATTTGACCTTGGTCTCTCAAATTAAGGGAAGAACACAGACTGAGGGTGTTTATACTCACTATCAGGAGAAACGGTGTAATTAACCAAATCACTTTCCAGATGGGGTTCAGTTTGTGCCCAAGCACAAATTCAAAGTCATTATACAGCGTATTACTTCCTGAAACAGATTAGTGTGTATTGTATTATCCCTTTTAGACCCCACATGCATAATTATGTAGGGTAGGACATTGAAGAAGAAATAGGAGAAAATGAAGAAGTTGCTGAAAAGGACAAAGGAGGAGATGGGGAAGAAAAAGATCATAAAGAACAATAAAAGGAGAAACAGAAGAATAAGAGGAAAAAAAAGGTGATATAATACAAATACAATGAGATAAGAAAACATAGCTGTACAGTTCAATGAACTGTCACTACATGAAACCTCCCTTCTTCATGGGGAGCTTAATCTACTTGAAGTTCATTTTCTTGGTTATTTCACTTTTTAATTGTATTAACGTTCTTCAATACAATGCTGAACCTCCAATGTGATAGGAAAACGATCATAAAAATATTCCATGTCATTAACAACCTGGGCAGGATTTGAACTTGTGCCAAATGAAGCTCATGAATGGAAGTGTCATATCTTCAGATTTACATAATTCTATGAAAGGCATACAGTTCTTGGTACTGAGTGGAATTTCTGTCTATTGCCCTCATACAGGTTTATAATGAACCGTATAAGCATTGTTAAATAAGTGTAATGAAATGTAATATTAGGCAGACCACCAAGTTAAACTTTGGATGACTGTGACTCAACTACAGAACTGATACCCGTTGACATTCGCATGATAACTTACCATATATCCATGCAAATGCCACCAATTCCAGGGCAGTAGATGCTATTACCATTCTTCCAATGACATAATGGTCCAAGATATGGACAACCTCCATGTTGTGCTGCAAGAAAAATTAAAATATTTTATAATTCCTGGAAATATGAGATCATTTTGTATTTAGCCGTCACAACAAGTTCATTGGGCACAAAGTGGTCATGTTGGACACAGTCCATCACCTGAGATATTTAACACAAGCAGTATTTGAGAGTTAGTTCTGCTAGGCCTTCTGGTAAAAGCAAATGCTAACAAAACTGAAGGCCAAATCCATAACATAATAATTATTGAAACATTTATTAAAATGAAGTAATAACTTCATTTATTTTTCCTGCAGCCCTCACTTTCAAAGGAGAAATATTCTTATATCATCATCATATCCATGTATGTTCCCATTAATAAATTCTGAACAAACTTGACAGATTTTAATGAAACTTGGCATGAACACCATACCACTAAAGGATACCTCACCTTTATACCTTTTAGTAACCTACTACCAATAATTCCATTTTGATGGCCATGTAAATGTGAGACAGAAGAGAAACTAACATAGAATTTTGTGTTTTGGTGGCTTCTTAAATAAATGAAACTACTAGTAGGATAAATGTTGCATGTATAACAAGATGGCTGCTATGTGTATTCTATTTAGTTTTAAATTTAAAACTAAATAGAATACACGTAACATGAAATTTTCATGATAATAACTAATAATTTTTTGACTGAGATAGATAACGAGTATGCCTATTAATGAAACATTTGTTTTGTATATGCTTACAAATATAAATATAACTGTGAAACTCTGAGTTTATAACTGGAAAATTTAATATAGTTGTATTCACACTAGTAGATATATCAATAAATAGCATAACTGTTTAGTGTCTTGTCTCACCATATAAAATGAACATCTGAAAGAAAGTAGAAATTATAAATTCTTCCCAGATCTTGTTTCTCTGGGTGACAATGAATCCAAATTTTAAATTGAGGAGACAAAATAAATGTGGTACTTGAATTGAGACCACTCAGAGTAAACATGAAATAAGAGTAAGGGCATTAAATTAGTATTCTCATACAGATAAACAGAATTTGAGCATGTGGATGTAACAATAATAAATAAAAATGTTGAACATAACAGAACTAAAGAGTCTTCAGAAAATTCTTGTCATTATGTAAGTCAGTTAAGTTTCTTTCACATCATAATATGTTTGCAAAAGGTATCCTCATACAGGGCACCAGTAAATGTTTTAAAAATGCTACTTGAAATTCTAAGTAACTTCACATTAATTTATTGAAGACACACAGCTGTCACTACACAAGTTAATAAAGAGTGCAGAAATGACACAAATTATTTTTTCCCCCTTTCCATTTGTTAAATATTAAATATTAATGTTACAAACATGTTGAATTTATTGACATCTACATTGTATATCATGAACCAATTATTTTATGCAATGAGCAGTTTTCAGAGAATTAATTAAGTTTAGTGTCAAACCTAGTTTATACTGAACCAAAATGACCTGCATATATTAAGATAAAGATATAAAACACTGCAGATTCCACATACTGGTATAATGCAGATAATTCCAATTAGGAAGCCAATAGTACATATGCACCCTGCCATAATCCACCAGCTCCATCTTTTGTTGATTTCCAGAGTGACAGCCACCAGTACTGTGTATAGTACAGCTACCTAGAAAAAAAAACAGCATGAAACTGTGTACATAATGAAGATAAAACAAAATGTAGTAGTAAGAAACTATTTCACCCAGTGCTAAGGTGACTATACAGCTCAGATTTAAATTGTTACAAAAATAATCCTTTTGGATGGCCAATTACTATGAATTTAAAATTTCACAACCTCATGACACAGAATCTTCTTGGAACATTTTCAGTTACCCAACTTATCCTTCTTGATTTAATCATTATAAAACTTTCAGATGAGTATTACCAACAAGTAATTTAGCATTAATATTATTTACCAAGTACACAACACTTTATTAAAACAATACCATGTGCCTGTGCTTTGAGTGCATGCGTCATAATCAGACATGCAGCACAATCATAATAAAGTGTTGTGAAGATGATAAAGTGTATTAATATTGAATAGTTATAAAATACAATGGGAATGCTTCAATATGAGACAAATTAAGAAGCTTATTTTGTAATTGTTTCATCCTCCTGCTATTTCCTATCTCTTAGAGCCAAATATTCTCCTTAGCATTTTGTTCTCAAACTTCCTTCATTTATTTCCTTTATAATGACAGACCAAGTTTCACAGCATAAAAGTCAGATAAACTTACACTATGCAGTTGAAAAGTACTATTACTAAACAAAGAAATCTCTGAATACTCACCATAGCAATGAACCCTCCACAGATAATAACAAAAAATGTGAGGGCTGACCATAACTGCTTGAGACTTCCCATGTAGTTCACTGCTACATCATAAGTCAGAGTATAAATAAATTCTTCGGGTATATCAATGTTAAGATTGTCCGTCTTTCTCTGACCAATCCACTGATAAACAATACACACTGTTAGGATTCCAATCAAAAGATTGGACACCACATAGAACACTGCAGTCCTGAAATCAATCACAATGCAAGCCAATAAAAAAGGTGAGTATTCTTCACTACTAGCAGGTTCAGCACCACTTATACCTCAACCTACCATCAGAAAAGATCCTGAGCCATTTTGATGAACCTCCTATCCTGTTTCTCTAAGATTTATCTCAGGTTTTTGTGGACAATGGAGGATAATAAATACAAAAACATATTTTCTAACTCCGTTCATACAGTATTATGAAATTCTGAATACACTTGCAACAAGTTTGTCCCAGTAACTTCTGTTATATATTAGAATTCTTCTGAATCTTTTCAAATGGACACTGAAAGTTCATATTGCTAAAAAGATCATGTCTTGATGTTGTGTTCCCCACAGGACAAAATCTATATGCACTAACTTGCAAAAGAACAAAATGTTAAAAGCAAATTTGGTATATCAAGACACATATCCTTCAAGAAGTGTGCAAACACAGTAGTTATGAATTTTTTATCTGCAATTATGATTTGGGGAAAAATAGTTTGTTATTTGCCTCTTGTGAAAAATACTTGGTCCTTGACACTTTGCAGGCTGGCTAGCTACTTGCCAAGTTAACCTGTAGCCCCAGTATGTCTCTTGTTAAGTACACAATGTTTAGCAAAATAATTAATAACTGTGAGAATAATTCAATCCCTGAATAATTTTCAAATGAAAATTTACATTTAGTACTACTTGCATTTACACTATTTACACAAACATCTACTTTTTATCACTGTTACTAAAACATAACATCTTTCTTTGCAACACATGATTTATAAACAGTGGATTGCTAATAGCTAAGGCACTCTTACTAATATTATTTCTCTCTCACCCATAGCAAATAGTTGTGCTGGGAAACTGAACTCTACAACATAACATATTGCTATGAGATCTCACCAGTCTCCTTGTGAGGCAGAGACTTCCATCACCTCACCACAGTTACATGATTGTGTGTGCGCGTGTGCGTCAGCCTGCCCTGCCATCTAGATGGAAAATACTGAACTACCTAAAGTCCACAACCTCTACAGTAATTTAGTTAATAAAACAATGTATATGAATTGTAGAAAATAATTTAGAATATCACAGAAATCTCATGTAATCAAAGACACAATTTTATAACAGTGATCAGAAGTGGATGTCAAGATGCATTTGAGCACCAACAGCTCTTGAAGTGTTATAAGGATTAAATTATCCTCCCACCTGTCTATTTTCATTTGCCTAATATATTAGAAGAAACATTGGAATGAAAAATCTTTTTCATAAAACTACTTTACTTACCACAAAGCATTGTTCTTTGAATAAAGCCTCCCAGCACATGTCACAATGTTTCCAAAACCCAGGTGTGTTGAGAAGAACATCTGGACAGTAGCAAAATACCACACCTGTAATGCAAGTACTAGATGTTATGATGTCATTTTAAGTTATATCATCTAAACAGTTGTTAATAAACCAACATGATATAGCAAAAACAAAACTTTAGTACACACAAATTATTTATTTCCTACTTGATTCTGTGTTTATTTAATGATGCCTTTTTCAACTGGTAGGATGATCTGTGAACTATGACTAGGACACAATGTAGAGGGGAAAGGTTTGTGGACTATCTGAAAATACTACCAGACATTTGCCTAAAGGTACTAAGGAAATCCTTGAGATGTTTCAGTCAAGATAGCCAACCTGCAGACCTCATGAATATGTACTTAGAACTAGTACAAAGGTCCAGTTGATATTCAATGTAGAACTTTTTTTACTCCATTGCTTACTCACGTTCTTCTATCTTTCAGTTCGCTCATACCGTCATGCAGCATAACATACATACCCTGTCAATAATAAATTGTATCATATTGTTTATATAATTTTTCAGGAGGTATTATTGCAATTTCTCAGACTATATTATCCATATTTCTTTTCAGTGCTACCACACATACAATGAAGTTTTAACTTAAACCCTTGCTGTACTATTACAACTCACTATATCTTTAGCCCGTCAGACATTAAATTTAAAAATCCTTTGAGCTGTCTTAGCTCCCTTTCAGAATACTTATGAAAGAGGATGGTATAGTTTTGTTTTCATATTATTAAGGAAAGATTTTCCTAAGGTATCATCATGTTTGTGTCTGTCTGGGTGTACACGTGCATATGCTCGTGTAAGTAACTTCTCAAATAAAAGACTGATTTCAACGAACTTTGATGTAAACATGCCACTGGAGACTAATCTATCTGTGAACATCTACTTTCCACATCTTTGATGTCAGCATAGTAATCATTTCAACTTTTGAGATGTTAGTCACAGTTCTTAAACTGTATGTCCTGAAATATTGTATGGCAGCAGATCTTAAAAGAAAAGCAATGTTGTGAGTATAGTTTCTGCAGAATGTAAAACAACATGGCAGATAAGGGTAACTCATTTAGTTGAGATAATTGATTGCTGCAGCTAGGAAACGTGAAAATTGTTTATACAGATGGATCATAATCACAATCATCAAATTTGTATGAAGAGTTCACAGACATGACAACACAAAAGTATAAAACATATTCAAAGCTCAATGCAATTAGTTTTAGAATATTTGAATAAAATTACAATACATATTTAATACACACTTTAATATCTAGAAGATAGTCCCACTGGAATATCATGAGTTTCTGTAATCCATAAACTGATGTGTCACTTAGTATTGACTGCACCAAGAGGGCAACAAGACAGGCAATTACTGGAGCAAGGATGACGTACACTGATACTCTGTACGAGTGTTCACGTTTGAAAGTGCTGAAAACATGAACACATACAGGAATTAAATAAATACGTAACTATAATGTCAGTAATACTTTTCTATATAGGGTTATAACAAAGTATTGCTTACAGTTTCAGACATTTAGAATCAAAACATTTTCATCCAGCTTTCAAAATTACATCATTCAATTACAAATGTTGGTGAGGCATGTCTTCTCCTTTTGCTAAGTATGCTATAACTCAGTTATTACATGTTCTAACAGAAGTCACATTTTTCTCAGGTTAAATAAAAATCTGTCAGTAAAATTCTAATTCTCTATGCCTTTGCTTCATAAAAGGTAATTAATTACTTATTCTTCAATTGCTCATACAGACAATGTTATTGGCAGACTTACTGCACAACATAATTATATAACTGATAGTACAGGCACACCTCGATTTATTGTGCTTCGCAGATATTGCGTTTTTTACAAATTGAAGGTTTGTGGCAACCCTGCATCGAGTAAGTCTATCGGCGCCATTTTTCCAACAGCATGTGCTTACTTCATGTCTCTGTGTCACATTTTGGTAATTCTAGCAATGTTCTTGCATTGTCTTTTTAGATATAATGCTATTGCACACTTAATAGACTACAATATAGTGTAAACACAACTTTTATATGCACTGGGAAAACAAAACATTCGTGTGCCTCGCTTTATTGCGGTGGTCTGGAACCGAACCCACAATAACTCCGAGGTATGCCTGTACAATTCTAGCTGAAAATCCTGATAGAAAATATTTTGAACTTAAGAGACAGAAATCAAACTAGTTTCTCAAAATGCAACCAAAATATGACTAAATTTACCGTAGTTATGCCTGTGTTATGTGCCCCCAGAGGGACCTGGAAATTTAATTAGCTGAATAACATTTCTTAACTTACAGAACCTATGGATCTTCAAGAAATTAACTTCACATACCACAACATGAAAAGTGACCAGAGTAGGAACAGGAATGCTACACCAACTCCAAACCACATGGCATCCTCATTCAGGGATTTCAGGAATGTGTGTCTGTAATCAAGCAGTACTGACAATTATAAGAAATATATTTACTTTGTACAGTCTATACACAAACGTTTGAAGTTTATTGGTGTTGTAAAAATTATATAATATTAAAACATTTTGTTGTGTAAAATATTATATTAGCGCTCTTAATCGTAAATACGATTTTACATTATATTTTTTAGCGCTTTTATTAAAACGACATGTTTCGACGGGTAATACCGTCGTCTTCAGGTTTTTATCAATTTAAAATATTTTAAAAACTATTAGATATTTGATGAAATATATTATAATGATCCGTAGTTCTGTTTGTAGCTTTCCATTTTCATGGTAAGTTGCTTATTGTAGTCAGACGTTATATTTATCTGTGGAATTAATGTTTAATTATTTTCTTGGAATGAGTATGAATTGACAAAGGAAATAAATAAATAATCGTATAAATATATATTAAAAATATTACAACACCAATAAACTTAAAACGTTTGTGTAAGACTGTACAAAATAAATATATTTAATCAAACACAAACATGACGCATATAAGATACAAATATAAGAAATATGTTTAAATGAGTACGTGATCAAAGAATTATATCCAATCATAAGATAACTCTGCAGGCACAGCAATCAACAGTACTTATGATAATGGAAATGTTAAAAATAATTATCACTTTTGAAGTTTTGTAGCTTATTAAATACTGTGAAACTATTCATGTGGAATGCAATGGTAAAAAACCAAACTTAAAAAAATAGATTTGTTCGGATGTTTACATTTGTAGTTTTGTCTATTAATTTGCTGTCTTATTTGGCCTCCTTGGCACCAGGAATTTTAAGAAAAATCCAAATTTTCCTAAAGATTTTAATAGATTAATTAATAAGCACTGAAAAATTCTTGCTTCCTTTTAAGTTAGTACCACATACGAACATTTAATACTTACCGTAAACATTCTGCACCATCCTGAAAAGGAGAAAGAACAAAAATCTAAATCACAAAAAGAAAAATAGATGCAAATACAGCAAATAACAATAGCACATCTCTCAATTTCATTTTCACATTAAAACTATAGTACTTGTTCCTTTGCATCATGTTTCTGACAGGTTATATCATAACATTTGGTCAGTCAGACTTCAAATTTCCTATGCCCTGCTAATGCAGTAAGAGATACAAAGAGATAAATACCAAACGATTGAACTGCAATTGCACCTTGTGACATTTCTGAGCAATGTCTGCTGAAGAAAACTTTGAAGGAGTAATTCAAATTGTAACCAGATTATGTCTGACCCTTCAACTAATAATTACTTTTCAATACCTGTTATATTATAACCATAGGAAACATTGGATCCTGACTGAAAAGTCAGATTTATTGTAATGTGGGAGAAATACTGAATCCAAATGCATATATCAGCTAAATGAACAGAAAATGTCTATGGCAAAGCTTGCTGTGCTGTGGCAACAGTCTGTTGTTACAGCGCCCTGATTCATCATATTGTTAGAAAATTTAAGTGCTTTCAGGTAGTAAAATGACGCAAAAATTACAGATTTTCTTATTTACAATGCCACACAATATTGTGTTCCATATGACATATCTGATATACACCACACCGTCTTCGGTTAGATTCTCCTCTTTACACAGAAAGCTGATTATTTGTTTTTATTTTGGAAATTAGTGGCAATGTTTTTCAAACTGATGATTCTTTGATGCTTGTATGCTGACCAGTGGACCACATGTCCGTCGGTACAATGAAAATCAATCATGTGAACGTGGGAGTAGAACCGATCTGCAACACATTCTGTAAATCATCGTATAAACTACAGATCATGGGCGATATCCAGCACAGTTTTGGCAAAGGCTTACAACAGTCATAAAAATTATTTCACAATCTATACAAGACTTGAGTTTAACTTACAATTGGTGTGAACTGTTGACTACATTCTGTAAAAGGGATGGGTCCCTTGGAACACCAGACTAGGTAGAACAACGAGAGACCCATGAGCACGGGATAATAGATGGAGAGCAAGCCTGATGCAAGTATTTTGACGTAGCCAATACCTGAAGGCAGAGTATTATACAGTGTGTGATGTTCATCTACATGTGTCCATCAGAAATCTATTTATATGATATTCATTTACAATAAGAGATGATACAAAATATTTTGTTTGGTTGTTCAGTAATCATTGCACGAATTGCTAAGGTTACACAGATTTGAACGAGGAAAAAAACTGTGATTGAAAAGTCGGGAAAGATGTGAAGTCGACATTACCTACTTTTAAGAACTACCCTGGCCGTTTCCTCCAGAAACTGACAAAGAATATGCTAAATAATTAGGGTAACCAGTTCCCAGCCAAGATCCAAATTGGGAACTCCCCAAATATGAACCAGACATTTTTTTTGTATGCTCAATTATATGGAGCACCGTAGATTGCGCTCAGTAAAAAAAGGCTTCATTTCTGAATTAAAATGAGAGAATGAAATATAGTGCAAAATACCTATACAAATCATGAAGTTCCTGACTTCATCTTTCTTAGATCCTAATAACTTGGTTTTATAAAATAAATTATACGATTTTAATGTTGCAATATGGATTTTGAGAGGACATTAGGTTTCAACAAAGAAAGTAATATATATATAAGGTTCTAACAGTAGCAAAGATGATAATGATGATAATCTGGGTTGTGATGCTGTGTGGACTCATAAGTAGATACCAACACTTTGGAGAAACATACTGTCTCCATCTTCAGAGCTTCAGTATGTTTCTTTGAAACATTCGTATCTACTTATGAGTCTATATAGTATCAAACTAGAACAACATCGTCACCGAACTCTCCTTACTGTTCTGAAAATATTAAGAAGTGGTTGTTAAGAAGAAGATAACAAATATTCTGTCAAATTTTATTTACTATCGATCTCTTAAATACATTTTTCCTTGCTCAATTAAAAAAATGAAAATAAAATGTTGAGTCTAATTTTATATAGCATACCATTTACCTTTAAACAAAGGGACAGCTCTCCACAGTTTTGTTGTTCCTTCCTGGCAGAACTGACCCAGACCAATTTCAAGAAAAACTAAAGGAATACCAAAAACTAGGCTGATACAGATGTATACGACTAGAAAAGTACCTGCAAAACATAAAAGGGGTGGTTAGAAGAGCCAGACATTATACACGATTATTCATAATTCCCTGACACATTACAAAAAATCGCTGGACTTGAATGGTGTAACGGATGGTAACATAGGACATGCCGATAGAAAGAGAAACTCTCCAAGTTTATTTTACATACCTCATAAATGCTCTATGTGTCCGCCCTTTGTGACGCGACAGACGTCAAGCCGATAATCCATTTCCGCCAATACCCGTTGCAGCATGTCACGATCGATTTGTGAGATGGCTTCGATGATTTGTCTTCACAGCTCAGGCAGATCCCGTGGCACAGACGGTACAAAGACCTGGTCCTTATTGTACCCCCATAAGAAGAAATAACGTGGCGTCAGGTCAGGTGATCGGGGTTGCCAACTAAGCAGCGCATGATCATTGGTTCAAATCTGGCGATTTTATAAAAGTCTCAGGGAATTGTGAATAACCCTGTACTGTGCTGAAACACTAGTAAGGCAGTATTTTGATTTAAGTAATGTAAGAATGCAACAACTCGAGAATGGTTTTACAGATTTTCGTGGCATCTGATATCTGATACTTACCGCCGCCACTGAGGTATACGACGCGAGGAAGACGAAGAATATTGCCAAGGCTGGCCGTGAGAGAGAGGATGGTGAGTGTGGCGCTCAGGCCTGGCATACAACCTCCTTCCACCTGAGGGGAAAGAAGAAAAAATCACAGCATTCAATAAATCGCCAGCTTCCATCGACTCAGAACAGTTTCAAAAGTCGTCGATCTACCATCGTCTCAGAACCTACCCTGACAGGTTTCCATGCCTTTTCTCATTTGTAAGGTAAATATCAGAGTATAAACTATGGGCGAAGTCTTATGCGAGCTGTTAGGTTGGTGGTAGGTCGACTCAGAACATGCGAAGTAGTGTTCGAAAGAGAAGGAAATACAAATATCCAACCAGCAAAAAATTTATTCTACGTTCAGATTTTGACACAAAATTCCCACTACATTACACACAAAAATAATATACTTTTAGCGTACTCCTCTCTTTTATAGAGCAATATGTACTGCATAATGTCTCATAATTTTGAGACACAAAGGTCAGCCAACTCTGTTAATAAAATCGACTTTATATTTATAACGAATTATATAATGTTGGTTAATGTTTTGTTTTTTCAGCTCTTTCTTATCACTTTCCGTAATATCTGATCATTTATGCATATCGTCTGACCCATTATATTCAGCATTGTTCATTGTACGAGCAATACGAGGTATAGTATATGTTGGAAGCTACTCAGCCAGTCAACAAGTACTCGCCTTCATGAAACTCCAAGGTCCACAAAATTCTATACTTAATTTTCTCCAGTAATTTATTATTTAATCCACGTTACATCAAAATATTTTCTTCATTACATGCAACTAGTAATATAATTCCACTTTCGCCCATGTATCCGATCGAAGTGGTTTCTATCAGTCAGGATTTGCGACATAAATTGTATTGGCTTATGTATTTTTCCTTTCCCTCTTGCATGCTGTATGCCGCGCCCATCTCATCCTTCTTTATTCGACCACTCTTCAGGCGAAAAGCAAAAATTGCCAAGCACCTTGTCACGAATTCCATTCTCCTATTACTTTCTCTGTCTTAGGCCAAACATCTTCATCGGCACCTTGTTCTCAAATAGCCTCGATGTATTTTCTTCGCTCAGAGTGACTTTGACATCCGTATAAACAGGCAGAAGTGCACCATAGATTTGTTTATTTTAATCCTTAAATGTTTATTCGTTTTGTTTATTTCCGTTTCCTGTGGCAGCTACTGGGGTTGAACATGTTTCTTTGTTTATTTAAAGCCACTTTTTCAACTACGTAGATAGTGTCCTAAAACTTGTTTTCTCCAAAAAGCCTCCTGACCTCAAACTTACTAATTAATAAAGGAACACTAAAAAAACTTTAAAAATAAATAAACACACGAAAAAGGAAACAAAGAAAGGAGTGGTTTCTGTAGCTTATGGGTGAATACTAATGCAAAGATCACAGTATTTTGGATTTATGAACTGAATTCAGACTTTGGGCGTTTCTAAAAAGATTTCAGAAAGCACGTCTTAGTATTGTCATTGCCCGCAAGTAACAGGGCCCAAACTTCGGGACATATGATTAAACTACGAGTGTTATTAAGAGTGCACCGAATGATTGTCGTGCCATTTTGATTTAGGTTCTGGGTTAATTTTATGGTCAGATTACAAAGCTTTAATAGTTTTATTGTGTAGTTTTATTAGTCCTCTGACCACCCTCCATGAAACAAGATGTACGGTACTTACGTTATATATTTGTATTGCCAATGTTACATTCATTCACTTCAATTTAATGAAGGCCAAATATATCTTTATGTGTAACGTGTGAGTCCTTTGACAAATTTTGATGAAATTTGATACACATCATTTCTATAATCGAATATTATTGTGTGTCATTGTAATTCATTTCGTGGTCTTCAATGCTTAAGGGTCTAAATATATCCATAAGCGTCTCTCGCTAAGTATTATCCAGCGAAAAATATACTGAATACAAGTTTTATGAGTGCAAATATTTGTAGAAAGCTCACTGGCTTTGAGAAAATCACTAATGAAAATAACTATTACGCATGCTCAAAACGAAAGCGGTCTGTGCTCCTACCGTCTACCAGACGGCAGCTCAATATACTGAATAATCTAGAGAATAAACAGATATACGTAAACAAAAGATATACTTTCAATACCACACTCAAGGGCGTGCGTAATGAAATCCGCCATTACATAAATTTATCCGCTAAATATTTGCGGGTCTCTCGTCGAATCCTGAGGTTTCCCGGATCAGTTTGAGTGTCACTAAATTAGATCATAACGCCGAATAATGGGGCCATTATGAGCGACTCCATGGCTAAAATGCTGACGCGGTCATGGCCTATTTTAAAATATATTAATCTCCATTTGTCTGGAGACAACGATGAAAACTGCGAAAAACGGAGTTAAGAAAGCCGTCTCTTAAGGCCGAAATTCGTAAGTGGGGCCTACCGAACATAAAACATGGTTCTTAATCAATCCGCCACGACATTTGGCGACTGATTCAAGTTGAAATTCTTTTAAAAACCAATCAAAAATGATAACTAAAACACTCCCGTGGTTAGTGTCCCCAGTCACTGTTCAAACAAGAACTTCAGTAAGTATGTATCTATTATTAAAAGTGATTTGGGTCAAATCCATTCAGTACCGCTGAATGCAGTGCGAACTGGAATGTAATCACTGCTATAATAAAACCCAAAATTTCGTGAAAGTTATATTTCCCCCCATTATTCCCTGCAGCGACTGATGCCGTCGGACCGCAATAGAGATGCAAAGGGAGGTGTCGGGGCGTTGCCATCTGTCGAAATGACAGGCGTAGCTGAAGGACAAAGTGTCATTGTGTACAATGTTTGCGTTTCAGACACAACTGTTTGTTGTTTGCATTCTCTATGTTTCGAAACCTCTCTAACTAAACGCGTTTATCTAACGTACTCGTACTCCACCACTCTCAAGCGTACGTCATATACCAACGTACTTTCCTGTTGTAGATTCGCTGATCTCAGACGCGTGTAGACCTCTCTCTTCACAAAGGCCCACGTGGGGGTAACGTCGACCCGACTTCAATCTTTATTTTATTCCTGCATCTTATCGTTCGTGCCCTTCATGACGAAATTATATTTGAGGTTCCCTCTGCAGCGAAGATGTTGATTGTGGTATTTTGGGTGACGCCGCGTGACTGCGGTGGTTACCAACGTTTCGGAGGAACGTCGCACCTCCACCTTCTGGGCTGAAGCAGACAACGATTTTTAAATCGAAAAGGTATGCTGACTGAACGATGGTGTACTGAATCAGCATTTGACTGGAGTGATTGTGGAAATTCACAAAAATAATGATAGCCGTTCTTCGGGCTGGAAATTAAGTCCGAAGCTTCGGAATATGAAAACAGGAATGTTAAACACTCCACTGTGAAGTTCAGCCACTTCTTTTTCTTCTTCTCCTCTTCTTATTTTTTATTTTCCATTCCTCATCCTCCTCGTCCATCTTCTACCCCTTTTACCTTGTTCTTCTTCAGCGAATCGCATCTCTTCGTTCATCTGTGTCTTGTCCTGGGACGTTCTGAACTTATTTTGCCAACTGATCCGTGTTTAAGAATAATTTATTTTTGCACACTGCCCTTGGCTCTTACCATCTAACACGGCTGATAGCCCGAGAAGACTTTATTAATGACAGACGCCGTGAGAGCTTCACATCATAAATGTGAATGACAGTTCACGTCTTCGTAGAGTAAAGAAACCTTCGTTACTATGTAACTTACATGAATGCCGTCTCCTTCCTTTGTCAAAACAAGCGTAGCAGCAATCTTATTTCTGGCGCCGTGTTGGGTTATAGATACCAGCGTTGGACGAGAGGTTAACAGAAGATATGGAAAGATCACATTGCCATGTTTCAGTGCATTGGCTCTTGACATCGCCAAACAACGGTCATATTTTCCTCTATCTAAACACGACCACAGGGGGGGGGGGACAACTGTTTGTTGTTTGCATTCTCTATGTTTCGAAACCTCTCTAACTAAACGCGTTTATCTAACGTACTCGTACTCCACCACTCTCAAGCGTACGTCATATACCAACGTACTTTCCTGTTGTAGATTCGCTGATCTCAGACGCGTGTAGACCTCTCTCTTCACAAAGGCCCACGTGGGGGTAACGTCGACCCGACTTCAATCTTTATTTTATTCCTGCATCTTATCGTTCGTGCCCTTCATGACGAAATTATATTTGAGGTTCCCTCTGCAGCGAAGATGTTGATTGTGGTATTTTGGGTGACGCCGCGTGACTGCGGTGGTTACCAACGTTTCGGAGGAACGTCGCACCTCCACCTTCTGGGCTGAAGCAGACAACGATTTTTAAATCGAAAAGGTATGCTGACTGAACGATGGTGTACTGAATCAGCATTTGACTGGAGTGATTGTGGAAATTCACAAAAATAATGATAGCCGTTCTTCGGGCTGGAAATTAAGTCCGAAGCTTCGGAATATGAAAACAGGAATGTTAAACACTCCACTGTGAAGTTCAGCCACTTCTTTTTCTTCTTCTCCTCTTCTTATTTTTTATTTTCCATTCCTCATCCTCCTCGTCCATCTTCTACCCCTTTTACCTTGTTCTTCTTCAGCGAATCGCATCTCTTCGTTCATCTGTGTCTTGTCCTGGGACGTTCTGAACTTATTTTGCCAACTGATCCGTGTTTAAGAATAATTTATTTTTGCACACTGCCCTTGGCTCTTACCATCTAACACGGCTGATAGCCCGAGAAGACTTTATTAATGACAGACGCCGTGAGAGCTTCACATCATAAATGTGAATGACAGTTCACGTCTTCGTAGAGTAAAGAAACCTTCGTTACTATGTAACTTACATGAATGCCGTCTCCTTCCTTTGTCAAAACAAGCGTAGCAGCAATCTTATTTCTGGCGCCGTGTTGGGTTATAGATACCAGCGTTGGACGAGAGGTTAACAGAAGATATGGAAAGATCACATTGCCATGTTTCAGTGCATTGGCTCTTGACATCGCCAAACAACGGTCATATTTTCCTCTATCTAAACACGACCACAGGGGGGGGGGGGATAACTTATTTTAATCGGGGCGAGATGGAGTATGTTTCAAGTTACC